GGAGGAGGACAGACATTTGTTTAGAACTCTTAAAGATGTCGAAGAAGCTCCTTTAAGCAATTACTGTAATGTTCCTCCACCTCCAAAGAAATGTCAGAAGGAGTCCGAACCACAAAAGAAGCACGTATCCTCGGAAAAGTAGTTGCAGGAGGTGAGCTGGCTTCAAACAAATGATGAACGCACAGAGATGTCATGCGGAATGTGCCGTGAAAATTTAATAAACGACAAATTAAAAAGGCATGAACATTTTTTTTGTATCAGAAAAATATCGAACCGTGACAACAAAGTATCGAACCGAACCGAACCGTGAATTTTGTGTATCGTTGCACCCCTAATATATATACATATATTCATGACAGAAACTAATAAAAGTTACTATAAATGTTAAGTTTGACATGTTTTGGCCCTTAATTTTTTTACTCTACCTTTCAGACATTGACTACATTCAGTCTAAGTGTCAAATCATTCCTAAAGAAAATACTTTTTATACTATCACCTAAAAAAATCATCAAGTTCATAGAGAATATTTTAATAAAATTCAGACTTATTAGATTGTATTCACACTGATCCATAAGAGTATAATCAGTCAATTCTAATTCAGCTCTGGATACATAACATTAAAAATATAATTTACAAAAAATTATGGGAAATCTCCTTTTGCTCCTTTATCCCTGGCTCTTCTCAATAACTTTACGGTGTTATCTGCAGCAAAATATTAAAGTTAAAATATTAAAATATATTTCATCATGTCATAGGAGCATGGGCTATGAAAATCCAGTAAAAAAAAAGATATCAATCAATCAATGTCAAGACTCTAATTTTAAAGCAGTTGCGATAGCTTAATTTTACAACAGCAGGCTCAGAATTATTCCACCTGATTTATGTGTTCCCTCAGGTTGCCAATCTTCTCAGGCTCTTCCAGATCCCTCAGATAAGCTACGCTTCAACAAGTGCCAAACTCAGCGACAAGACGCGGTACGATTACTTTGCCCGCACTGTGCCCCCTGATTTCTACCAGGCCAAAGCCATGGCTGAGATCCTGCGGTTTTTCAACTGGACCTATGTGTCCACCGTCGCATCCGAGGGTGATTACGGGGAAACTGGTATCGAGGCTTTTGAACAAGAGGCACGCATGAGAAACATCTGTATTGCCACTTCAGAGAAGGTAGGAAAAATAATTCATTTGCACATTTCTGTTGTCAAATCCACATGGCTATAAGAAGCAAACAGAAAGAAAAGCTAAACAAAACAAACAAAGCCAAAACTTCCATGTGGAATGTCACCCTGATTTATGGCCTACGGCTGCACCAGCAACAATAAGCAAAGTGCTAAATTTGTCCGCTTATAAAAGTTTGTCTTTACGTCTTATCTCGTCCTACACCAAATAGGGTTTAATATCACACTGTTGTTATCAGTCGTGAACCAGAAAATGAAAGCTTATCTCCAAGAACTCATTCTGGGTGCTTTCACAGTCACATTTTTCATCTAATTTGCTACAGAAATGCATGTTGGTATGAGACTGTGAGACATATCTTTTTTTGTCACATTTCCGCCTATGATTTATGTGATAAATAATTACGAATAGGGAACATAAGCAGGAGGAGCATGTACAGTATGTCTGTCATTAAATTGCAGCATGTCTCTTCTTTGTCCAGGTGGGACGGTCTAACGCGAAGAAGTCCTATGAAGCTGTGATCCGTCAGCTCCTCCAGAAGCCAAACGCCCGTGTGGCTGTTCTTTTCCTGCGAAGTGACGATGCCAGAGAGCTGCTGGCAGCTGCTGCCAGGCTCAACACCTCCTTCATATGGGTGGCCAGCGACGGCTGGGGTGCGCAGGAAAGCATTGTCAAGGGAAATGAGGTCACAGCTGAAGGAGCCATCACGCTTGAATTGGCAGCCAATCCCATACCAGAATTCAACCGCTACTTCCTTAGTCTGAACCCTGTCAAAAATCATCGGAATCCCTGGTTCAAGGAGTTCTGGGAGCAGCGGTTTCAGTGCTCTTTTGGGGGAGGAGGCGGAGTGGGCTTGGGAGAGACGCCTCCCCCACCATGTGACAAGGACTTGTCGATAGACAAGAATAACTTTGAACCCGAGTCCAAGATCATGTTTGTGGTGAATGCCGTGTATGCAATGGCTTACGCCCTACATAACATGCAACGTAGCTTGTGCTTTAACACCACCAAGCTGTGTGACAGCATGAAGGCCTTGGATGGGCGCAGACTCTACAGGGATTACATCCTTAATGTCAGCTTTGCAGGTAAGAGAGCTATAGCACGACAAACAGAATGAAGAGCGATAAGGTGTTGAAGTTTTATGAAGAATAAGAAGTAAATGTTGGAGGGGAAGCTGGTGGAAAGACAGTAGGACAACGATGGGAATTTTCAGTCCCTAGTTAACAGTCCTCTGTGAAACAATACAGGGATGTTGTCCTTCTCCTCAGCCAAAGCAGCCATGAACATAAAAAGTACTGAAACAAATCCACTTAATTGCTATGTATTGTCAGAGCCAGCTTGCCATTGACACCTATTACCCATGCGTAATTGATACGACACTTGAAAGTTTCTTTGAGGAATGAGAGCTTCAGTTAATCCGTCAGCCATATTCTTCTCTCTTGCACTAATGAGATTGTGTGTGTTATAATAGCTCCTATAGCAGGCTGCCTGTCTGTCTGTCAGTCTCTGTAGAGTTGGGAGTGAAGAGACAGAGGATTGGCTTGACTGACAGATGGCGTACAAAGGAAGCGTTATAAATAAACTGCTGTGTCTCAGGGACTGACACAGGTTTAGAGGTGCTTATTCCTCCACCAACCGTGACCAGGAGCAGACATCAAAACAGCCAGACAAACAACACTAACACGGCAGATTTGCCATGGGACGCTGGGGAGAGAGAGCAGCAAGGATGGATGGAGGATGAGAAAATGGCATCGCCTATGAGGGGAGGGGGGGAGGGAGCTTACAGATAAGAGTGACAGGCAGACTAAAATGAGAAAAGAGAGTTTGCGGTAAGGTAAGAGAGCGTAAGACAGAAAAAGAGATAGGGAAAGAAGGAGGGAGAGAACAAGTGAGCACCGAGGCAATTCCGGAGTGGGACGGCATGCGTCAGCAGAAGAAGAGAATTCTCTTTGAAATTCCCCATCTTCATTTCTGCTACAAATCAAAGTGGAGCATTTCTGTCTGAGAAGAAGAGCGAGTATAAGATAGAGACTGAAGAAACAGTCAAAGCAATTGCAGTTGCATCCTCCACTTGGCACCGATGATCCCACTCCATTATAGAGTACATACAGTGAGAGATAGGAAGGATATGCAGATTTACACACACGGGAAGCTGACAAATGCTCTGGAGTGGGTTTTGGGGCAGAGGAGAGAAAAGCAGGGAAAAGCAGAGGACAGCAGATGAGAAAGAAGGTGTGAATCCCTCTGTGACTTTCCTACATCTCTATGTCTGATAATACACTCCCTCTAACACCGCTTCTGCCTTCTTTTTAATACTGATGTATGTCTGCGAATTGCACGTTTTTATTCTTCAGCTGGTAAGAAAGAACAGCAAATACAAACAACCTGAGTCCTTTTACACTGACAGTGCTGACAGAATGACAAGCAGCTGTATTGGTAAAAATCCATTCAGAGAAGCTGTGCTGATAAGAGCTCAAACTACGTGGAAGACGGTACAGTTAAACTGGGAACTTGCGGCAGTGTTTGTTTTGAGGTATTGGTTCGCCCAGAATGACTCACTCTCGCTCTCTGCTGTACATATACATCCTTCCGACTACAGTATGTAAGGAAGAAGCTGAGGTGAGTTGAGGTTGAATGTGGGGTATGAATACTGCAGCATCACCATCCGCAGTGCTCTCAGTCTGAACTGTAGCAGACGGAAAACCAACACTCTTCAGTGCTCTCTGTCTCCCTCCTTTCGCCTTCTCTTATACACACATGCAGGTTTATTGCACAGTCTTTGCATTGCATCAAAATCAGAGCTTCCTTATAGCTTCCAAATGTCCCCTAGGACTGTGATTCTTAAATGTAATAAGACTGTTGTTTTATTAGCTTTTACTGACATTGTATGGGGTGCCCTAATGCACTATTCTGCATTAAAAGCAGTGTTTTCATATGCGGCTCTCTTCATCTAATCTCGTCTTGCTCGTTGCTATGGTAATGAAGCCGACACTATTGCCAATTGTTGAAGTGATCCGGTAGATCATGGGAACTGCTCCTTACCAACTAGTAACAGACACAGAGGCGTTTTTTTTACACATTTTTATGAGGCCTTACAACATGCTTCATACGCAAAACGTAGACATACATACACACAAGAGGCACATAAACGCCTTCCTAACAGTCTTTTTTACAATGAGGTGGCTTGAAATGCTTGTTTTTCTACCAGCATGAAATTGCAGACACCCCCAACCCACACACTTCTCAAAGCCATCATTCAACTCCCACCCACCCACCTCCCCGATCTGCAGCAAACAGATCAGTATATACACACATGCATGCAGTCTTCTGTTCAAATAGTGGTGATAGATGTGATATTCCCCCTTCTCTCTTTCTCTCTGTGTGTGTGTGTGTGTGTGTGTGTGTGTGTGTGTGTGTGTGTGTGTGTGTGTGTGTGTGTGTGTGTGTG